CTGTCTTTCTCAGCGGCGGTTTACTTTGGAGCCTGGAAATCAGTGATAAGAGAGAGAAAAGAGAGGGAGGTGGAAGGCAGAAGAGGAACCGGAGAGCGGTGGGAAGCGTCGGCCGTGGACAGCGAGGGGCCTCATGTTTAAACAAGCAGCGGCCCCTGCAGAGCTTCCTCTATTTGACAAATGAGCCGTGCCTCTCTGCTGCAGTGATCGCTGCTGGCCAAACACTCGGCCAACGCGCTCGTTATTATCAGAAATGAGCCGGTGCACGCTTGTTGGAGAACAGAAAAGGCTTCGGACGGACCGCTGGGAGGCTGTGTGTGTGCTGTGTTAATGCACTTCAATCATTTACTTCTAATAACAAATTGATTTTCTGCCATGAGCAGGTTACAGCTCCGGGAGCAGCCAGGTTTAATGCACTCTGGAGCAGAGGAACAGTGGTCTGGACCTTTTAATAACATACAGTATATTCATTACGCTGGTCAGTCCCTGCATGGACCAGATGCTGTTCTGAAGTCATCAGAGCTCATCCTGCCTCAACTAACGATAAGCAGTTGAGCGTTTCGTTGAGCTAAGCCTCGCTCTAAGTGGGTTGTATTGTCCTGACACAAGACTGTAACCGGCAACCGTAAGACGACAGCCACGGAGGGAGAGGAGTTAGCATCACTGGAACACCGAACAGCTAAAAGATGTTCATGTTGTGTTTATCGGGGTTACGTGTTCAGCCACTTCCTTTCAAGTATCTGTTGTGTGAAGATGTCATGGAGCATCTCAGCTTAGAACAAACTCCCTCTGTGTGCGTGTTGTAATCTGAGCTTGTGTTCTATGTTTTGGCAGCACATGCATGTTAGTGCACGTGTGACCCTCACTTTGAAACCGTTGGTCCGTCTTCACCTAAAAACAGACCGAGTGTGAACTCACACAACGAGCTGGAAAAGCAAACCTGCAGTCCGGTCTTTGCTAGTGTCTGTTTCTATATGTCTGTCCACTCCAGTAAGTGAACCTGGTCCAAGTTTTCTCCGGTCCAGCAAACCACCATCAGATCCAAACAGAGCGGAACAAGCTGAAATAAAGGGGAGATGGTTGAGGTGAAGATGAGGTTCCTCAAGCAGCTCCTTATGGCCATTCGTTGTGTTTTACTGTAGTATCAGGGGCTAACTGTTGTTGGCTCTCATGTACACGACCTTTCTGAAGGCAGGAGGTGTTGCTCATGTGCTCATTGTTTTGTTCTGTGATGCTGATGCTCTATAGCGACGTTCAGTTGTTCTGAACGTTGCACAAAGAACATTTAAAGGAGCAGACTGGTTGTTTCCACTCTGTATCTCTCTAGACGAGCCCTCCATCGTTGCTTCCAGTTGTCCCCATTCTCCAGACATCTGGCCAGTTTGTTGGTACTTGGAGCTCCTGCATCCTTCTTGAGTATGTTAGTGTGGGACGTCCTCGTGACCGATGCCCATGTGTCGGTTCCCACAGCACCAATTTGCTGGCTGGCAGCTCTCGATGCCTTTGACAGTGTCCTGCTAATTTTCTCCTTACAGCGATCTTCTCGCTCACCCTTGGTATTCCCTCATACAGGATCCTGTTGGTTGTGCTCTTGCTGATGTTAAGCACTGCCCACAACATCCTGGTGTAGCACCCGTCTAGAGACTTCTGTAGGGTTGCCTTCAAGGTCCAGCATTCACTGCCATAGAGGAGAACAGACTCTACTGCTACATAGAAGAAGCTGAGTTTGGTTTGGCGGGGGAGGTTGGTGTTCCATACACTGGTCATGCCGATCAGGGCCCTCCATGCCTTCCTCATTTTTAGATCTTGCTGGGTTGAGTTGACCCATGAGCCCAGGTACTTGAAGTCCTCAACTTCTTTCAGCACAGTGCCTCCTGCTGCTGTCAGAGCTTGATGTTCTGGTGGAACGTTGGAGGTGATGACCTCAGTTTTCTTGGCATTTAGCCTAAAGGCCAACCTTGGCGCACTCTAGCTCGACTCTGTTCAGTAGTTCTTGTGCTTGTTCCACATTGTCTGAGAGCAGGCTGATGTCGTCCGCATAGTCACAGTCTGTGAGGACTACTGCGGGGTATGCTAAGCTAAGCTAACTGGCTGTTAGTGGCTTTGTAGTTGTTGTATAGATCCAATCTTTACATCTATTCCAAACACGTTGCGCTGCTCCTTTAAGGTCTGGCTTAACTTCACTGCTGTCCGTTATATGAAATGACAAAGAAAAAGATTCAACGATGAGCAGGATCATCTGTGAAGAACTGACATCGACTAGAAGCAGCGATGCACGGATGCAGAATGTGTGTAGCAATATTTAAACATCAGCCAGTCAAGGGGTGCATCTTCATGAACATGTATGATCAGTTCATCACATCTATAGTCTTGAATATAAAATTTTTTTTTCCATATCTTTCCTTTCAGACACACAAACCGTTGTGAGTCAGGGTTGCTTTGTGAGCTTTATAACACCTCAGTGGACGGTATGGAATAACACACTCATGTTCAGATTAGAGGCTGATTTAATTAGAAATACTGGCACAAAAGATAAACTACCAGCAGCTTCAGTGTCTCTCTACACACATCTATCTGTCTCTGCATGCATGAGTGTGTACGTTCACGGTTATGTATTCGGCGGGTAAATCAGCCGTGAACTCTCCCAGCCGATTACTGTGTGCGGACAACAGTTTGAAAATGTGTTAGCTGCTGTGTGTTACATCTGGGAAATTAATTCAGAAAGTCTGCTTCGCCCTGCAGTCTTCACTTCCGCCTGAGGTGCATTTTCATTAATTTCTGGCCTCGCTTTCTCACATCCTTAGAAAGTATCAGCTCATACAACTTGACAAAATGTGCAGGATTCCCAGTGGCTGACTTCGGGAATCTAAATAGTTGCATCTGTGCAGAAATTTCCCAAAGCGATCCAATTTCTACTTTAACGTACGACTTTTCGCTGGTTTAACAATACATTAAATACGCTGAGTTCAGATTTGACAGGAAGCTTCTCTCAGCAAAACGCTCCTCTTATCTGTCATGGGATGCCGTTTGCACTATACATAGATATATATATATAAATCCGTACGCAGTGTAAACACACAGTATATCCCTCTACAGACAGCAGGGTTGATTTGATTTGCAGCACTTAGGCAAAGGTCATTCAAAACAATGCCTACGGCTTCACATCAGATCCTCGCTTACTGTATATGCGCTGTACAGAGGTCAGAGCAGTCTAATATATTAGATAACACAACAATGACCCGTGTTCCTGGCTGTGGCTGCTGTTTTCCGTTGGTGTGGTACGTATGCGTAGCAGCTTTACATATAGATGTTATCCTGCAGGTCAGAGACTGATTGTCAGTGTTTATGTGTTTATGTTTCAGTGCAATCATAAAAGCAGCAGTTTGTGGGATTATATTGATTTGTTTTTTTCTCTCAGGCTACATACAAGTCTTCCTAACCATCACATAAGCTTGTTAGGGGGCTGACCAGCAATACTGAGGGTGTATTACATCGCATTACACATACATGGTGTTACTGTTGTTTGTTTGTTTGTTTGTTTTTTTTCCCCCATTACTGTTATTGCTTTATTATTATGGGCTAAATTATTTAGTAAATTGGAACAGTTTAATATTGTCATGCATTTACATAAAAAACCAAACAAATGTCCTGTATAGTTACTGTAATAATGAGCGTAATGAACCAACGCTACTTTGTTCCTCATATGGAGATGCACAACAATGCAGATTTTTAGTAATCAAGGAGGTTTTTAAAAAAAAGAAATTTTATTTTTCGATTTTTTATTTTGTAGTTTTTAAAAAAGTCTTAATTATTTTTAATTTTAATTTTTTAACTTTCTTTTTTAAAGAAAAAATTATTTAAGACTTTTAAAAAATATTCTATTTTTCAATTTTTAATTTTGTAATTTAAAAAAAACAATTTTTTTTTCAATTTAAATTTTTTAACTTTCTTTTTTTTAAAGAAAAAAGCGATCAAGACTGTTCACTAATATTTGCAAGTGATTCACATTCAGTCTCTAAATTAAAATTTAGAATAACACAAACTCTACCCCAAAAACTTTGTTGTTTCCTTTATTTATATTTTCCACATGTTTAATTCAAAGACAACCTTTCAGCATTTATTCTTCAGTGTTATTGGCTGTCAGTCACGACTTGTAACCAATCAGATAGCGCTGTGGGCGGGATGTTGCTCAAGACTACAGATAGAAAGAGTCAAACTAATATATGTTAACCAGATAAATGGACAGATGCTGAATATCAGATCCAACAGTCGACTGCGCCAATAATCGGTCGACCCCTCGATTGTTGAACCTGCACAGAAACAGATAAGGACAAGGTTTCCAGGAGTCCAGACTGCTGTTATAAAAACATCAAGTTTGTTTGTTTGCAGTCTTGCTGTAGCTAAGGACATGCCAGCTCGCAGTCGGCAGCGTTTCAAAAACGTTTGGGAGTCGACGGCGTAGTGCTTGGCTCACTGAACAGCAACACAACGTACTTCACCAGACATCACTGTAAATACTCCGATCACACACTGTCATTGTGAGGATTGATGGAAGCGTTTCAGATTCAGAGCCAGTGTGGGAAGGCTGCTGCTCTATTTACTGCTCAGCTGGTGAGAACACCGCCGGCTCCTTGATGTCATGAGAAAAAACAAAAAAAAAGCTGGACCTGGAGGAGACAGAATTCAGGATGGGGAGCGAGGGATTAGGACGGGCTGAATGTGTTCATCAAAGCAGAGCTCTGAGCCTGAAAAGCTTCAGGAAGCCTCTGAACAACTCTGCTGAAATAAATAAGGAGCATAGAAGCTGTACATCTCCTGCCACAATGACGGATTACTGACTGAATCTCAGATGTTATTGCGAACTAAACCACACACGGGTATTTAACGGTTGTGGGCCGCTTCACAGAACGCTTCACAGAACGCTTCACAGAACGCTTCACAGAACCAACCAAACTGTCCACCGCCACTCTGATGCAGGTTTTTAACAGTTTTATTTCTTGAGCTGGGTCCATGGTGTGCAATGGACGTGAAAACTGAAATCAGAAATCCTTTTGCTCTCTACCAATATGTCTACCAAACAGTTTCTGGTGACTTTGTTCTAATAACTGCCTCCTCTTTCCTTGCTTTCCCCAGTGAGTACCACCTCTTCACCTTCTGCACAGAGAAAAAGTCCCAAATCCTCGACTGCTACTGGCCCAACCCGCTGGTGGAGAGCTACATCATCCGCATACACAAGCACTTTTTCTCCAACTGCACCATGGAGCCGGTGATATGGGTCGACCCGCCGGACGACACGTTAACCATCCTAGTCCTCATCCCCGTTTTCCTCACCTTGGCCATGATTGCGTTGGTGGTCTGGTGCAGCAAGAGGAGCGACATCCTGGCTTAGGTCACGAAGACACGAGGACTGAGTTCGAGGCTCCAACCTCTCGAATACTGAACACAACGAAGGAGGGCACAGAGTACTGTCACCGTTGGGTCAAATTATGCCGTAGGTCGTGCCACAAACCCCCCAAGACGTCTTGTAAAAATGAAGAAAGTCAAGCCTGGTAGCATTTTTCTTAATATTTTAATATATTCTGTGTAATTGTTTTTTACATTTGGACGCTGACCTGTGACCACTCAACATGTTCAAGTGTTCCACAGGTCTTTTTAGGACAGAATTTGACTATGCTGGTATGATAATGTACAGTCTGGGGAATTCTGTTTGTTTGCTTTCTTGAAGACGGACAAAATGACACCACTCCTGTTTTTATGGGAACTACAAGGCTACACCCAACTTAGCTTAGCATGAAGATTGAAAACAGCCTGCCGTTTTCCATCTACTGTATCAGCACCTCTAAAACCCCTATTTCATTTTGACATAATCCTTTAAAATACTTTTTACAAAGCATAATGAAGCATTCGTGCTGTTGCTGCCTGTATCTACAGTGAGATCGCCACGTAACATAAACCCCACGGATCCACAACCTGTATTTGCTTGGATTAAGTGTTTTAATCAGTGAGTTTAAGGTGCCTCATATATCATATCACTGTAGGTGGATGTGGTTAGCTTTGGGAAGATCCATGCTAAGCTAAACCGCTGCTGGCTTACTTAGGATAGTCAACTCATCCAGCTCTTATCAAGAACGTGAATAAGCATATTTTCCAAAATGTTGAAATAGTTCTGAGAGAAGCCGCAGCCAGCAGCTGGTTAGCTTAGCATGGATACTCCCAAAGCTAACCACATCTGCCTACAGGATGAGACCCACCGATAAAAACACTTAATCCAAGCAAATACAAGTTGTGGTTTTATGGGATTTATGTTCCATGGAGTCTCACTGTAAATACACAACTTGCTTTAATCAGTGAATTTAAGATGCCTCATACTGTAGGTGGATGTGGTTAGCTTTGGGAGT